TGAGTAATCCTGAGTACTCATTTATCAGTTTAGAAAATAAATATGAGAATATCTCAAATTTCTGAGTATGAAAAAAATTACATTCAAGTGCCCTCTTATCAGCAGATTCAAACATAAATCATCTCAATTTATGGGACCACAAAAGTAAACGGAGTACAGACTCTCCTAACAAAGATCAAAAAATTGCATCTCAAACCTGTAACATGCCAAATATTTGAGTTCTTGGAATCGATTCTGAATCTTTATAAATAAGAATCCTGATTCAGATTTGAATCGATTTTTTTCAGCACCTCTAATATACACAATTTAAAAAGTAAAAGGCTCCTTATATATATTTATAATGAAACTAATACATATAAAATAAAACGTCATCTCCGGTGTCACGTGACGTTACGTGACTGCCGTGGAAGCCGCGGTCACGTGATGCAAGTCTGTTTCATTTAACCATTTTCTTTGACCAAGGAAGGACAGTGTCCTTGTAAGCAAGGCGCCTGGTCTCACAAGACATCCCCTCGCAAGGCAAGGCGCCTTGACATTGAGAAACACCCCATGATTCTACCCCACGATGCTACAGAGCCAGACACAGAACATATGTTGTATGCTAAAAGTCCCGCCGTTTGCTTTAGGACATCCTTTTGGAACATTTCTAAATCCAACTCTCCTTTTCAGAGGCAAAGATGTGTTTTCACTCTGGGTTGACCCTAGTTAAATGTGCAACTCATTAATCGTGTAAGCTGTTCAGGGCAGCTTTACAGTGAGAGGTCTTAAAACAAACACACACAGACTTCAGTCAGAAGAGCTGCTAATCTGACCTGCCAGGCAACTGTCTGTCACACTGATTAACCCCTCTGCAGTCTGTTCTCAGGGGAAGGACAACGAGCCAGGAATCCCCACCATTGAGGAATGTAAACATTCTTCTTTTGGAGGAGAGGAAGCACCCTCTTTAGGAAAATCTATCTTATCCTGTTTAGTTAAGGGGTCATAAAGACATTCACAGAAGGACACAGGGGTTTTACACCACATTTGTGTGAAACTCCAACCAGCCCAATGCTATGCTCTTCTTTCTGACCACTTCCACCCCTGACAACCTCTCAGTTGCTTGGTGATTGTCTGTCTACAGGCTGATCTTTCACTTCCACAGAACCAGGATGTTGACCTAAACTGGGCCCCCAAAGTACACAGCAAGCCTCTTCTCCAGAAACAGGAAAACGGCCTCGATCTAGGAAACCAGAGAGGGACTTCTTCTTCCCGATCACCTCCATATTCCTCTGCTGTCCTTTACGAGTGTAAAGAAGCTAGAGTTATGTCTGTGACCTGAAGGCGAGCGCTGTTTTTAAGTGAATCCATGGAGAAGAACAGGAAGTGGAAGGTGAAATCAGCGCCTGGCTGTTCCTCTTTGAACTTTCCCTAAAAAAAGAGATGGCCTTTATAGACCTGTTACGCAACACTGGAAATACGTTAGATGGTGTGACAGAAATAACAAAAAGTACAGGTTTAAGCAGATTTTTTTTTTTTACGAAAGAACAGCGTTACAACTCTACAGCAGCCTGCTGTAGCTAGCACTACCAATGAGCTAACACTAACATGAGCCAAGTCTTACTAAGTAAGCCACAAATCTAAAAGATCCACACTGTTGGACAAACAATATTGTTACTTATGTCCAGTAGCAACAAAGCCAGGTCACCATCAGCCCGTGATTTCATAGCCTTTTTCAGCTTCCTCAAACTAGTGTAGGCTGCACCAATGTTTACTTCAGTTTTAGCTCTTTGCTTCGCCTCTAAAGGCATTACTCTTAGTTTTACTTCCAGGCTTCGCCATGATCCCAACTAGGGATGCACCGAAAATTCCGCCACCGAAAAGTTTTGGTTGAAAATGACCCAAAAGTGAATTTTCGGTTTTCGGCCGAAACATCTAAATCACAGAAAAAACACAGCTGAAACAGACCGTCAGGTGAACCATGTTTTAATTTAATCTCACTCCGTCTTAATTGCAAACTTGCTCTTTGCTTCATAAAAAATGTGCATTCTGATTTCAAAGGTAAAGATTTTCCCCTTTTAGTAATTCTGTTTTATTATGATTGCTGGAATGTAGGTACATTTCAATTATGTGACACATTTTTTATTTTCAGCTGTGGTTGGGACAATTATTACATTAACTGATGGACCTGTAAATAAATAGTTTATAAATAAGGTAGAAATAAGTTCCTCACGCTGATAAATAATAACTAATCTCTCTGAGGACACGGTGCTAGTGCACTCTCCTAGAGCACCTTGACATGACAAAATACATATTATGCAACATTTTGTGAGCATCAACTTATTTGCATTTATTTGTTATAAATGCCACTGTATAATTCTTGCTGTCAATATTTGCAAGATATTGGTATTTGGGTCTGTACTGGTTACTTAAATGAGTTAAACCAAGGTCTATAGCTCTAGGGTCATAAACTATGAGCTAAAAGTATATTGGTCTTTTTATACTGGGAATCAGGAGTTATTTTGGTGATCATCTTGTTTCTTATTTATTTTTGTCCTGATTGCGCCCTGAGCAATTTTATGACAGAATAAAAACAAATCAAATCAACATTAATTGAAAAATCGTCTAAAATAATCGAGATCTCAATTTCAGTCACAATAATCATGATTATTATTTTTGCCATAATCGAGCAGCCCTATTACTAACATCTTGGTATCAGGTTGGTGTGTAAAGTTATCATTACCATGATTCCTAAACTGTCTAAAATACATGTTTAAAAAAAAGAAGAGTATTGGGCGGTTAGTAGCTCCAGGACTTCTGTAATTTGACCCCATCATCAGAGAAAGTTGAAACAACCAGTCGTTACTGAAAGTAGAGAATGCGAGCTTTAACACAGATAGATCCAAGCTGCCCGTGTAAAGTTATGCTTAAAATAGGGTTAGTTTATAATAGAGAAGAGAACTATAATGAAAATGTCCTTGAAAAAAGGATATGCTGGACACAAGTATATCTATATGGTCACACCCACATTCCTTTAAAGGATGTAAGATGTTTTTCTAGAGCATGTTTTGCCATGTTGCTTGAAATGCTCTTCACACACTGACAGCAACAATTAAATTAAAATTAAATGTTTTGTCAAAATATCAATCATTTAATTCACCCCTGAATCGTACAATCCTGGAAAAGCATCATCCAATCATTATGAATGATTGGATCCTGATCCATCCATCAAACTGCCATCTTGAGACCGCTGAATGTGCCATCTGACCATCTCTCCCCCTCTACTCGTACCCGTCTGCACAATCACACGTTCTAAACACGGAGCAACTGAACAGAAAGTAAAGTTAGAGTTGGGCTAGCTAGTGTAACGGATGAGATGCTCCATTCTGTTTGCAAATTTCAATGAAGGAGTTGTTTTGTCTGATGTTCTACTAGAGTCTGGCTTTGTTCTTGTTGGGAAACGTTAAGTGATGGAGATGCCGTCTGTGAACACACCTGATCTTGTCAGCTGGCAGAGCTGTTTGTTCTTGGCATTTGTGTGGGAAGCCGAGGAGAGAGTGGAACGAGGTTTGGGGTGGGTTCTGGATGCTCTGACTTTTTGTTCGGTTGGGTTTCCCAGATTGTTGGTGGAACTGAGCTGATGTGACTTTGAAGTTAAGAATAAACCAAGAATGCTCAAAATGGCCTCGCATTTTACAATAGAAACTATGAGCTTTGTAGCTAGCATAATAAGATGGTGTTATGAGTTTACCTTGACATGACATGACTGCGGTCTTCATCAGAAGTGTCGCAAATATTTGTGCGACGCGTCCATCAGCTCTTCTTCTGGTGGGTGTGAAAAACCTGGATCTGTCAGATCTGCTGGGCCGGTCACACACCCACCCCAGCTGGTTGGTCTTTGGAGAAGGAGATCCCAGGTGTGAGACACCTGATAGGCCCCCTCGTCTCTGTTCATGTTCCACTGTTCCCGCTTCCTTAATTCTTTTGCCTCCCTGATCCAACGTTTGAACCGGTTCAAATGTTGGATCAGGAATCCATCGCAGATCTGACAGATTCGGGTTGGTCACGCCCACCAGAACAGCTGATAAAGATGCGTCACACAAACATCTGTGACACATCAGATGTAGATCGCAGTCGCCAGTAACAACAAGTCAAGGTAAACTCATAGCACAACCTTACATGTCCGAAGCATAATAAGCCGTTATGTGGTTAATTAGGTGAGCAATGTTAGGAATGATGTCAGAAAAGGTAAGATGTAACGTCTTCATGGTTGACAGTAGCCAATAAGTCCGGCGGTGACTCTCAGGAAGACGAACGACATCAAACACCATTACGCTATTTTATCGTACGGATGAAGAAATTCCACTAAAAGGCCAAGAAGACTTGTACAGTCAATCTTTTTAACGTGGGAAATGCAAAGTTTAAGCTAACAGCTGGACTATCTGAATTCTACAAAACTAAAACAAACGTTTCTGCAAACATTGGTCCCAAGCTGAAACCTTGGTCTCCTGGCTGCCTGCACATTGGTTAAACTTGCATGACGTGGCTCTCTGAAAGCGGTCTGAAAGGATGCATTTGCAAACCAACATCTTAAATATGCCGAAGTCTAATCACAATAAAAAAAAGATAGCACAGCTGTGAGAAAGAGCCATGACAACACTGCATCCAATTGGTTTAGTTTTGGCGCTGCTCACATCCTAGAACTCAGGCATTCTTTCCACCCTCCTAACAACAATGGTACCAGTGTTGCAGTGGGAAGGCCGGTGGGCTTGGCACTCCACTCCACTCCACACTCTGGCTGTTGTTGACTTGGAAGAGGAGTTCGAGGAGTGGGAGCAGCCGTGGGGATGAAGCTACCACCTCCCAGAAAGTTCCCCATCTGATTTTTAGGACTGTTTCTAAATAACCAGCTTACACAAGCAAAACAAGTAGGAACATACCAATAACTTTAATGCAACCAATGCGTTCAATAAATCCTTAAAGCTGCATTTTGCCCTCGGTTGAACAATCTGACTGTCTCTTACCGGTTTAGGCATTTTGCTTCCTCTCCTCCTCACGCCCAACAGATGAGAGGATAAGTCTGTCACAGGATGGTAGAAATACTTCTTTCTCAGGAGCTGAAAGTGGAAAAAAAATAAAGCACACATTGAGCAAGATTGCATCAGACTCCCAAACTGTTGAAAAGCAATATTACCCAACTTAATTTGCCTTTTTTTTTTTTGACACGCACAGTTTCTCTGATTTCAAAAGTAGAGCTGTAAAGTCAGCAAAAGGTTTTTATTCTTTTTTTAAACAACTCTAACCTAGGATCTGGTGGCCGAGGCTTAAAAATCAGCTGAGTGGAAGGCACACAAGTCAGAAAGTGAAGACGCCAAAAAAAGGGGACAAAATGATACTCCAAAGAGAATTACTCTGAAAAGAAAAACTTTATTTCAACCCCTGGTAATGATCACAATACACAGAGGTGGCTGTGTACCAGCCCAAGGGTACACAAGTAAGTGAAGTAAGAGCTTGAATATTTTTAACATTCAATGAAATAATTAGCTGTTTGTGAATAAATCTACAAATCTAGAAGCCGACCGATATGGGTTTTTAAGGCCGATGCAGATTTTTAAATAAGTTTGTTGCCGATGGCCGATATCTAGAGCCGATTATTAAGGCCGAGATATATATACAAGTTTTAGCAGCACATTGATTGTAAAAGACAACTGAACACTCACCGTGTGCAATATAAATTACATAAGTCAATAAATCTCTTAATATTTATTGAACTTCAAATATAAAACAAACTCAAAACATAAAAAAAAAAAAACTGTGTTGCGGTCCTTCGGACCATTTCTTCAGTCTAGTATTGGTGACAGTTGGCCAAACATGCTCCAGACTTTTTTTTTTTAAATTGGCTTTGAAAAATAATAAAAAATTAATTAGCAAAAAAGCTCTCTCCTCTCCTCTCCTCTCCTCCCCTCCCCTCTCCTCTCCTCCCCTCCCCTCCCCTCCCTCCTACTGTGGATCACACCTCCCTCCCTCCTACTGTGGAGCACGGGTGATGAGCGCAGCAGTGATGCCAGTCAGCCACGTCCGCTGACACGAACGGCGCAACAAAACTTGAAACCTCCATCAGCTGATACTGGTGAGAAACGGCAGTGGAACGTGTGCACCCTCCGCCCCATCTGACGACCAAAGCCGCCAGGCTTAACTCATTTTCTGGGGGAAACCCTGTATCATTAAATGGTATTTAGTCAGAATGAGTTTTCCCCTTTTCTCTAGGGATGTATGACAATATCGATACGCTGGAATGTTATGATATTTTGAGATAGGATCCTGAATTAATATTTAAAGGCAGCGTATAGATTATTTATTGAGAATTTACACGCAAACATTTACTGTAGTTCTTCTGTGTGGTGCAATTCCAACTCTTACTAAGTGGCAGCAGTTTTTACCGCCTTTACTCTAACGAAACAATGAGATCTCGTAAACACCGGATGTGTCTTGGAAGCGTCTTGCTGGGGTTTTCCACTTAAATTCAGTTTGAATTTGCGAATATATTCTGGCTTTTAATATCGCAATACATTCGCTGTATAGTGATGAATAACGTATCACCAGATTCAATTCAATTCAAAAATACTTTATTAATCCCAGAGGGAAATTGATTGCTGTAGTAGCTCAGGATAATAATAATAATCAAGTCATCAAAGAGTTATTGTATATTACAATGGCTGTTGGCAGGAAGGATCTCCAGTAGCGGTCAGTGCTGCAGCCAAACTGAAGAAGCCTCTGACTGAAGACAGTCTTCCGTTGTCGGACAGTCTTGTGAAGAGAATGCTCAGGGTTGTCCATAATTTTCTTGATTCTCTGGAGAATCCTTATTTGCATTCTCTCCTCCAGTGGTTCCACAGTCGTCCCCGGAACAGAACCAGCCTTTTTATTAGGCTGTTGAGCCTTTTCAGGTCCCTGCTTCTGATGCTGCTACCCCAACAGACGATGGATGAAGAGATTACACTCTCAACAACAGACTTGTAGAAGATCTGCAGCATCTTGCTACAGACATTGAAGGACCTAAGCGTCGTCAAGAAGCGCAGTCTGCTGTGCCCCTTCTTGTAAACGGCTTCGCTGTTCTTTCTCCAGTCCAGTCTGTTGTCCAGGTGAACTCCAAGGTATTTGTATTCCTCAACCACCTCTACTTCTCCCATGATGGAAACAGTGTTTGACTCAACCCTGTTTCTTCTGAAGTCTAAAATAATCTCCTTTGTTTTGTTCACGTTCAAGGTCAGATGATTGTTTCCACACCATGCCACAAAGCGCTCCACCAGCTCTCTGTACTCAGCTTCCTGTCCATCTCCGATACACCTGACAACTGCAGAGTCATCGGAGTATTTCTGTAGATGACAGGTCTCTGATTTGTACTGGAAGTCTGAGGTGTACAGGGTGAAAAAGAATGGTGAGAGTACAGTCCCCTGTGGTGCTCCAATGTTACCGATTGCCTGGTTTGACGTGCAGTTCTTCAGCCTCACAAACTGTGGTCTGTTTGTCAGGTAGTCTTTAATCCAGGCGATAGTTGAGGCCCCCATATGCATCTTCTGGAGTTTCTGGCAAAGTACATCAGGCTGGATTGTGCTAAATGCACTGGAGAAATCAAATAACATGACCCTCACAGTGCTGCCTGCTTTGTCCAGATGACAGTGGATTGGTTGAAGCAGCTGGATGATGGCATCTTCAACTCCAACTCCATGGCAATAAGCAAACTGCAGCGGGTCCTGATACGTTCTAGTTTGCTTATTCAGGTGGACCAACAGGAGTCTCTCCAGGACCTTCATGATGTGGGATGTCAGGGCAACCGGTCTGTAGTCGTCATTGACTGATGGGTGAGTTTTCTTTGGAACTGGAACAAGGAAGGATGTTTTCCACAGGACTGGAACCTTCTCCTGGGCCAGGCTGAGATTGAAGAGGTGCTGCAGAATCCCACAGAGCTGCTCTGCATAGGCCTTCAGTACTCTGGGGCTGACACCATCTGGACCTGCAGCCTTGTTCCTGTTCAGTCTCTCCAGCTGCCTCTTCACCTGACTTCTAGAGACAGATAGGTGGGAGGGGGAGGTAAATGGGGCGGCAGCATCTCCTGACTTGGTTGAAGACAGATTTATAGAACCAGAAGAGTCCATGACTGTGTTAGAGGATAAAAGAACTGGCATGTGACAGGAAAATGTTGGATCAGAGGAGGATGGGATGTCTGATTGGCTGGCAACAGGTGAGGAGGATGCTGGGTTTGTTCCTGAACTGAACCTATTGAAGAACTTGTTTGGTTCATTGGCTGTGTCCAGGCTGCCATCTGTGCAATCCTTCCTCTGCTTGAAGCCTGCGATCTTCTTCATTCCTGACCAGTCATCTCTGATATTGTTCCTCTATAGTTTGTTCTCCAGCTTCTTCCTGTATGCCTCCTTGCGGTCTCTGATCTTGATCTTCAGTTGCTTCTGTATACTCCTCAATAATTCCCTGTCTCCCTCCTTGAAGGCTCTTTTTTTCTCATTTAGCAGATTCTTCAGTTCACTGGTGATCCAGGGTTTGCTATTAGCAAAGCATCTCACTGTTCTGGTGGGTATGATGTTGTCCACATAAAAGTTTATATAGTCAGTGACACATCCAGTCATGTCATCTGATGTACTCTTCATATCCTTGGCAGAGAGTCATCCAATCTGTGGTCTCAAAGCAACCCTGCAGGGCTTCTTCAGTGTCCTGTGACCATTTTCTCACAGTTCTTTTTGTCACAGGTTGCCTCCGAACAAGTGGTTTGTATTCTGAGCAGAGAAAAACAAGACTGATCTAAGTCTTGTTTTGGACATGTTAGCATTCTTTACATTTGCGTAACACAAATCCAAAGTCTTGTTTTCTATGTTGGAGCAGCTAACAAACTGTTGAAATGTTGGAAGTGTAGCAGAGAGTGAGGCATGACTAAAATCACCAGATATAGCCACAAATGCATTGGGGTGCTGGGTTTGTAGCTTGGCGACAACGGAACTGATGGCATCACATACACTTTCAGCAATGGCTGAAGGTGGAATATAAATGGTTGCCAAGACAACACTGGTGAACTCTCTTGTCAAATAATATGGGCAACAACTTACTGCCAAGAGTTCAACATCTGGGCTGCAGAGACAACATATCACTGAAACATGACCTGGATGGCACCATCTGTTGTTGACATGCACTGCCACTCCACCTCCTTTTCTTTTCCCGCTCCTCTTCAGATCTCTGTCTGCTCGTACAGTCAGGAATCCTGGCAGAGAGACGCTGGAATCGGGGATATGGCCCTGTAGCCACATCTCAGTGAAACATAACACTGCACTGCCAAAACTCTGGCTGAGTCCTTGAAAGGGCTTGGAGTTCCTCCATCTTGTTGGCCAGTGATCTCACATTGCCCATTATGATCGATGGAAGAGATGGTTTGAATTTCCTCTTTTTCCGTCTCCATTTTGCTCCCGCTCTGCACCCATGCTTCTTGCGTTTTAGCTCATTTGAGATTTGTGGCTTCAGTTGAGGTATTATTTCAGCCTTTCCAAAGTTAATCAGCTGCTCCCGATTGTAAACCAGCTTGTTGCCATGGTTACGCATCATAACAAATGTTTAAAAAGTGAAAAAAAGTTAAAAAATAGCAGTACAAATCCTCCAAGCTTCACAGCACCAGAAACAGAAAAGTAAAATATCTAAAAAAGTACACTTTTTCTTGAGAAACTAGAAGATACAATGTCCAAGAAAAGGCTAAACTTACATTTAGTCAACAGAGCTACTCCAACATGCAGCCACCCATGAGCAGCGCAGTTCCGGAAAAATTCTTACGAATACAAATTCCAGATTACACTTAGCAATTTTATGCTTCCTTAAGTTTCATTTCAAACTATATTTCGAGTTCAAGACCAATTAATAAACTGATATTTGCTCCCCCGTCCCCTTTTAGAAAATATATCGGCGATCCCACTGTAATTTTCGATCAGGAACATTAAGATACTGCAGCTGCCACAACAAACTAACTCCTCCTACCCTCAATACAGTAAATTCTAAAGGTGTGGTTCGCCGAGAAACCGCGTCATACTTGTTCTTTTAGAAGTACAATTGGTCACTCCGAGTT